TTGAAGGGGAATGTTGTTTTTTCTACTCTCAGTCAGCTCCTAGACCTAGACTATCCGTCTAAGAGGGAAGCTGCAGGGCAAGGCTAGGTCACCCTGATCTCCTAGCAGCTTATCAAAAGAATTATATGGGCAAGTTGGCAAGGTCCCTGCTGTGAAGGAAATCATCTGTCCATCTAAAGATGAAGATATTCCAAGCACAAGCAAAGGAACCCACTGCTAAGGTAAGTGATTAGAATCCTGGTGTTATTTTGGGCAAGTGTTCATGTTCTAAATCCAGACACGTATGTGCTCTACATTTTCCCACAAATGATTTTCATTGTACAATTTTCTGAGAGTATGTCAAGTATTTTCTATTGTCTGAATAAGAAAGTCAAAAAGAAGTCACTAGATTTTTAAGTTCAAATCAGTAAGTGATTATATCTAATTGAGTGAATTTGTAGTTACATATATTTCAGAACTGTTACATTTTCTTGGTATATAGATAATTTATATTGTTGAGTACAGTATAATTTAGGAGTGCAAGTCTTCTCTAACTGGACAGTTTTATTTTGGAAATACCCTTCAAAGAATGTTTTACTTATTACTAATTGAATAATGAAATTAGTGAAATCTCCTAAATCAAGTATAAAAGCTAAGGAAAGAACATGTGAACCATACTTTTAAAAGTAAAATTGTAATCAATAGGAAATAACATTTTGGTAGACCTCTTACTGTTTTATATTCTTTCCTCTCCCCTCAGGTTTCATTTAGTGTGTAAGGTTGATGTGAAAAGGTAGAATTGAGATTTTTCTTTATGTTTAACCTGGATTTTATGTGTAAGTCTATAAAAAGTAGAGTACTATTTTGTAGTAAACTGAAAACTTCTGGTTTATTGCTGCAGTCTTCCATATTATGTAATAATTCTGTTTATGATTTAAAGTATGTCCTTTGCTTATAGAAGTCTGGAAACTTAGATAAGGTATTGCTTTCAGAAGTTAGTGTAAGTGTTGTAATTTACTCTGGTAACATGGTTATCTATCATCTGGGTCTCAAATAGATCATTTTGTTCATAGGTATGATATGAGCATGATATCATATGGATATGATCGTATCTTAAACATTTTTTGCCTGAAAAAATTTAATTGTAGGCTTTTCAAAACAGTATTATTAGCTGTAGAATTGGTATGACATTTATATGAAATGCTTTGATAAAATAGTATACAACGTAACAAAACCAGATTTTCAACTATATAATGAGAAGTACTAAAACTCACCTTCAAGTCTTCTATTATATTTATTGCACACACACATGCACAATATTTATGTAACCTGGTGGTGGTTTTGTTTTCTAGTGTGAAAAATTCATGTATTATAAGTGAGGAAGATCAAGCCATACATAGATAGATAATCCCCAGATGAGCAACTACTTTTGGTGGTCATTTTTTAGTAACTACAAAATTGGCAGTATTACAACTTTTTTGTAATGGTTTTGGCATATAAAATTTTAGATGTTTTAGTGCCAAGAATTAAAAATATTCTCTCCACAATATTTTTATGTTCTTGATTTTTTTTACCATTTCAGTAAAAAAATTACTATTCTAAAAAATTTACTATTTCTCACTTTGTCCAGTCTCTTTGAAATGCTGTCACAAATTTAATTAAACGTTCAAATTTTTGAGTATTCTGCTAAGGTATATTGATTTAAATGTTAAGTGAAACTATAGTTCCTGTATTCCTTTGTAGATACTTCATTTGCATTGATAGAAATTATTTATAAATTTAGATACCTGGTTTTTACCTACAATATTCCTTTGTTCTGATGTACATTATAAAGGAGACAAGATGTTGTTTTTTAGAGTAAGAGTGGCTTGCGTAAGATCTTCAGAAAGTCCCACCCCTCCACCCCCAAAATGGCCTTTAAGTTATAGGATATGTGATTCATTCATTGAAGACAGATTTGCTGTTGCTTAACAACTTGAATTTTGCTTTTACTGGTATTTGGACGGGGAGAGGGGGGGCGTGGGTAGGGGAAATTTCTGTGTTCTCTATAATTAGTAAAACAAGAGCCATCATATTGATATAGCAGGTAACATAGGCACAGACTTTTTCTGTAAATACTTCTGAGCAAGTTTCTTGAGATTTTTGTGGTCAGCAATTTTTGGGGGGCCATATATGAGTTCATATTCAGAGTTGGTAGGTAAAATTAATACAGAACATTTGTATGTTTTGCTTATTTAGTAATTTTTTTGAAGACTGTAATGTGATGGAAATACAATTAAAATTCAGAATGAATATTGAGATAAACAAGAAAAACAATTTTTCAAGAGGAAAGTTGTGTTTAAAGACAAGAGTATCTAGTTTCTGTTTACCTGTGATAAATAATAGCAGGGATTAGTATTTTCAGTTTATATAACTTGATATACATATATACACATAAATCTCAGGGATATATAACTTTTTCATTATACTTCATCTTATATCCCTTGAAAATTATTCCTTATTGTACATATCAGTTTGTACTAACCAGATTTTAATTATTCACATATGGCTAGTATCTACCATGTTAATGTAACTCTTGGTTGTCCTGTTGAGCCTTTAGAGCCTCGAGTGTCATTTCTCAGGAAATATTTGTCTGATTCCCTTGGTTGGTCAGTTTTTGTTCATTTTCAGTTTGATAGAATTAAAACATATATCACACTTGTAAGTTAATCTTAAATTAGTGAAGTTATTTGACACTTTCATACTCTAGATGTAAGCATGACTTCCATTTTAGTTCTAGTGTTTACATAACAACTCAGAAAATAGTATTTTACTGAATGAATTAGGCTCATTACTAGTGAATGTAACTTGACCAGAGTTATACGTTTGATTTTGGTATTAGGCACTGAATTCTTCCTAATTTATTTTGCTGGTATGAGAATGCAATAAAATATCATTAATATGGGAAGTGTTTTTAATTATAATTTGTTTAATGGTATTTTCAGAGATAAACTTTCATAAGACATTTTTAATTAGTAGTAAAGTTTTAAATCTAAAGTTAATTTTTAAAGTTGATTTAATATGCTAATATGCGTGATGATAAAAGAGGTTTAACAATTCACATTTTAAAATTCCTTGCTCACACTTAAAACTAAAAATTATGACTGACTTAAATTATTAAGTTAAATTATTCTAAATGAATTTTTATAAGAGTGAAGATTTAGTCATCAATGAAAATATTGTATCATTTTAAAGAATCTGTACTGTGAGTTTGATAAAATGATTAAACTATGTGATCCAGTAATATGGATTACTGAATTATTAATTACTTTAAGCCAAGAAATTATATTATGATCATATTTTAGACAGTAGTAGGTTATAACATAGTCCTGAGTCTAAAAGAAATCACATATGTACCCCACCCCCAACCTAGAAAGTTTTACACTTTTGTGTGTGTTGAACTAGTAAGAGAAATGTGGTACTATCACAGAGTTGCGTAAAGCTTTGTTGTGAAGCTACTTAAAACTTGACATGTATTTTTAAGAGATAGGCATTTATCAAGTGAGGAAAAGAAGGGTAATTTCAGTCAAAGGAATAGCAGCGTATATACACAGATACTGGGTTTTAAAACACTTTGTAAAAGTTTCTTTAAGCAAGTAGAAACAGTTGATTTAGTATGCCTATAAGGTAGTATTTATAGGCATGAAAATTGAGTCTGAAAGGACACCTTCAGAGTAGAATCATAGAGTTGTACATGACACTCTTAAGAGCTTGAACATACATTGTGGTTAAGAACATTATAATTAGGAAGGGGATACCTAAAAAATGTGAGCAGGGAGAAGGCAATAGTAGTAAAAAAAAAAATAAATAATGGTGCATGAACTTAATTAGTGTGGGAGTGTGGAAGAGAGTATAGAGTACATACTGTTGTTTACGTTGATCCCAACCCCCCTCAACCCTCTGTACCCCATTCCCATTTCTCTAGACCAAGAAGAAAAGAACTGGAAGACAGTAATTAATTCTGGCAAAGTCTTCTGTTAGTGATCATAATGTGTCTATGTTTTACCGAATTTCAATGGAAACTTACTGTGCAATACAAAGGACAGGATATGTTCTACAAAGTAAACTGATTGAATCAGTCAGTGTTTTTTCACAACATGCCAAAATGTTTTAATATAAATTATTTTCAAAAAAAAATCTTGATTTTTGTTCTGTGGTCATAACTTTAATCGAGTTAAAACTGAACAATGTTTCATGCTCCATGCATTCATTTAAAAAAGGATTAATGTAAGTGAAGTTTTACATATATGTTAGAAACTACTTTAGATTTGTCTGTCAGCATCAAGGACTAAATTAGGAGTCTTAAACAGAATAGTCTGCAAAAGCACAACTCTATATCCATGAACCAACACTGTAACCAGGAAGAGGCTGCCAGGATAAAATGCCTGGATAAAAAACACCTCATCCCCACTTTGCATAAAAAGATCGCAAGGGTCAAAGTAGCAGTAAGAAAGTAACACTGTTCATTTTGTTCTATTTTCAAATCTTATGATATACCTCTGCTAAACTAAAAGAGAACCCTCCCTAATCTGGTTATTGTAAGGGTAAATGATGCCTTTAACTTACCAAGTTTTGCCTTTGCATGAGTCCTTCAGATTTTCATTAGGCATCATACATACTTTTTCGGAAAGAGCAGTGAATGTGATGCTTTGTGTTTTGACCCTTGTGATTTTTGTCTTTATCATATATTATTTTGGGGGCATGTGGCTCTGCTGGGCTTTTCATTGTATTCACTTTTTTAAGTCTTAAGTAAGGGTTCAACATGTCAAAAAATAAATTAGTATTTTGAAAATGTGCACTATATCATTGGTAATAAAACTGGTTTGGTCAGTGTTCAACTTCATAAATATGATAGTAAGTAAAATTTTACAATATTTTGTCCTTATAGTTTTAATATTTTTCATATGTCAGAGAACTGGATTATATTAATTTTTTAATACTTTTGTTTAAATAAATTAGAATATGCTTGTTTTTCCATGCAGATTTGAGTTCTGTGAACCTGCATTTGTGGTTGGTAATTGCCTCCAGATAGCCTCTGACAGTCATCAGTATGACCGAATTTATTGTGGAGCTGGAGTTCAGAAAGACCATGAAAACTACATGAAAATATTACTGAAAGTTGGAGGCATTCTAGTAATGCCGATAGAAGATCAGGTACCTTCTACTGTTTTGTTTTTTTTTGCTTAATTACATAGAAAACAAGGAAGGGGAAGTTACTACATTCTAGTTTTTAAAGAAATGCTACTGCTCTTATATTTATCTGTATAGGAAAACTTGAAATGATCATATTTATCTAAAATAGATAATAGAAAAAAATCCCCTTTACAACCATTAAAAGACTCTTTGACTTTCACCCAGACTACCTGTGTGGACTTGCCAAACTGTTTCCTCCTGTAGTTTTCTTACCTGGTGATAATTGAACAGAATATAATGACCTGTAGCAGCTACTCATTTTCCAACATTCTTTAACTCTTTCAAAGTAGCAAAAAGAAATCTTGTTCAGGGTTTGACTTGATGAGTTTAACTCTGTTAAAGAAACAATTTTATTTTGGAATCTTCATGTAGTACTGTATAGGCTCATTTGTAAACATTCTGCAGCTGTTTGTCTACCTGGTTTTTGGTATTAATAGATATAATAAATGTTTGAAATACTAATTTACTGAGAAAGTCAATCTTTCAGAAGCAAAATATTTTAAAAAAATTAAACTATATAAACATCAAATATCTATGCCATCTTTTGTATTTTATGGCAAATATTTGAGTGAAAGTAATGTTGCTGCATTTAAATACAAGTGATTATATAACTTTCATTGACAGTTATTATTTGAAATTGTGAGTGTAAGGAAATAACATTTCCAGATTTTTATCAGTCTCTTTCCACCCCCCTCTAAATAGTTAACACAAATTATGCGAACTGGACAGAATACTTGGGAAAGTAAAAATATCCTTGCTGTTTCATTTGCTCCACTTGTGCAACCAAGTAAGAATGATAATGGCAAACCAGATTCTGTTGGACTTCGTAAGTAATGTTGTTCCTTTCTGATTGAGCTGTGCTTTATAGCGTTTAACGTCTATGCTTTAGATTTCATGGACTGTACAGTTACGAAGAACTCTGCAGCAGTGTATTTCAGTGTATTTATTCAGCCTCTTCCCCCATGCAGTCTCACAACTTTCACCTTCCCCAGACAGTTAGTTGCCTTTTTTGGAAACATGAAATGATGGGGCAGGTCAAACAAAAAAATGAATGTATTAGTTACAGTTGTGAATTATTATGTTAAGTTTGGTGGTATTTTCCAAAGCCTTTAATTCAGCTCAAAAGAACTTTGTCATTCCAGGGTGATTAATAAATGTCAGTGTGGCTAAAGGTCATTGGCTAGGCTGTAGAGGACAGATTGTAAAAGAATTTTTTTTGTAGTCAAGAGTCACTCAAACCAGGAGTGTAAGGAGAAATTATAGATATGTGTGCGTATATTTATTTATTTATATATAATACATATGTATATATAAAACTACTATATATATAAAAGAACATCAACTAGCAACTATAAACCAGAGACATTCTACGGGGGAGGAGAGGGGAACAAGACCAAAACGGGGGTAGGAAGAGGTATAAAAAGCCTCATGGGACTATGGTTATGGCACATGGGTGAAATCCATGGGGTTTACAACTGAGATAAAAAATGTACAAAATGAAGCATAATGTAAAAAATATATAAAATAAAAAGAGAGTGTCAGTGTTGATATGGACAGAGTTGCTTAAAGGTAGTAAAGTAGTGGACTACATTGATTTAGTGGAGGGAAAACAGGTTATCCACAGTTTTGTCCTGAGCAAGTAACTGATGACAGCATTCATTACTGTCTGCAAGACTTGAAGTGAAATAAATAGTTTGGAGATCCCTTGCAAGGACTACCAGTATATTAAAAACTGAGGAAGGAAAATGTTTTAAGGAGGGAGTGGGCAACTTACTGAGGGCTACCGAGACCTTGAAAAAGAAGGGTAAAGTTTTCAAAATCAGTGGGTACAGACAGTTCTTTTCCAAAATTGGGCTTTGGCTTAGTAAAACTTAATTTGCTTCTGAAATGAATTTATTTCATAGGAACCTGGAAAGATTAATCAATTTTATTTTCAGTGTTCATTTTACTTTTTTTGAGCTCTATGATTTTGTGGTCTTTTTGGTGGTTTTCAGAACTACAAGAAATAGTATACATCAAGTGTTTGGCATATAATAATTGATTACTAAAGAATAGTACTGGAATTTGGGAAGGATCAGTAAGTTGTACATTATTTTTCCTGTGCAAATTCTTACCAATGGGGAAATGGATCTGGAGGTCATATAGCTTTATTACCAGTCATAGTAATTAGAAGACTATGGCTTAGGTCTGCACCTTTAAATCTGGTTTACTTATTACCTGTAAATCAGAAATGGATCTGGGGGTCACATAGCTTTATTACCAGTCATAGTAATTAGGAAACTATGGCTTAGGTCTGCACCTTTAAATCTGGTTTACTTATTACCTGTAAATCAGGTTTATGCTTACAGGCAACACTGACCAGTCACAATTGAGTTTAACCCATAAACAGACAGATGAATAGAACTCAACCTGTGTAACTGTACATGGACCTATCCTAAAGGAGAAGAGTAGGCCAAAGACACACATACCAGCTGCTGCTTACATTTAAATTATCGCAGCCACTTTTTGCCTTGGTGAGGTCTGAGCATGGCGATGTAGAGAGATCCTATATGCAATTCTGGAGTGTCACTTTGAGAGTGTCAGTAGCCTGGAGGTTCTCTTCCTCACCATCTGAGGAGAGGGTTTACTGCCATTCTTCTCTAAGGAGTTGCCATCAAAGGAGATTTGTTACCACTCTGGCTTTTTTTTTTCTTTTTGATGGATTTATTTAGTTTGCTTTTTTTTTTTTTTTAAAGATTTATTCATTAATGCATATAGAACTAGAGTAGAGGCCAGAGGTACAGGGATGGTGAGAGGATTTAATAGAGGGTGGGGAGTAGAACAGGAAGAGTGATGAAGTACACTGTTGAGGGGGATCAGCAGGTGCGACAGGAGAGGTCTGCTGCGCTATATGGGTCACCTCCCTGGACGGAGATTAAACTCATGCTGAAGTGCTGTGGCCAGCTTCATAGTGCTGTGCTTTAACCCATTGTGCCATCAGGGAAGGTCCAAGATTTGATTTATTTTATGCATATAAGATCTCTAGTGTAGATCAGAGGTTCCAGGGAAGGGGGAGATGGGGTAGGAGTGGTGACAGGATTAGCCAGATAAAGAGTGGGGAGCAGAGCAGTTAGATCTACTGAAATACACTACTGAAGGGAGCTGTGGGAGAGACAGGAGAGGTCTGCACCACATTGTGGCTCAGCTCTCTGGCCAGAGTTTGACCTCATGCCCCAGTGAGGCATGAGGTGATAGCTTGATAGTGCTAAGACTTTACACTCTTATGCCATCAGGGAGGCCCAACATTCTGTGGATTTATCAGATTCATCCATATGGTCTATATTCACATGGATCATAGTTTTTTTCAGTGAAAGCTATTTTTTAATAGACTATCCATGACATACACATTATGCACGAATGTATATATTAATATATATTTATAATATTGATATGTACTGTATACTGTAATACATCAAACTATAATTTTGAATACTTAACTCCTTTAAAAAAAAAGGGCATGAGTTTAAAAAAACAGTAGTAACAAAGTAAAACTATCTTTTTCATCCTGTTTTCCAAACATTAGAATTATAGTTTATGACAGGGCAAATACTTAAATGTTTTACTTTGTAGCTGATACTGTTATAATCCTCAGCATTCCGCCTTTTGTCTATCACTTTTCCTAGTTTAATTTCCTTTAAAAGAGTCTTTGTCGTAATGTAGTTTTGTAATAACAAACTTTATAAATGGAGTGAATGATGATATACTATATAAATGAATAGTATTTGTTTTCTATCATTTTACAGATGTCAGCACAAATAGCCCTAGAAGTTTTAGTAAGACTGTCACTGGTGGGTGACTGACATTTATGATTATGAATGTAAAGTAGGAATAAATTCAATGGAATAAAAAATGGAAAAGTATAACTTTTTAAAAATCCATCATTCCTCTGACATATTTATTAATGAAATTTGTTTAAAACTCTCATCAAAATAATCCCTGGTAGGGATGTGAAAAGGAAATGGGAGTGTTAATGAAGTAAGAGTAGCCATAAGAGATACCTGAAGCTGAATGGTTATAGGGTGTTTATATTATTATAACCTTTCTTAGGGAGAGTTTTTATAAATTAAAGGAAAAAAGTTATCGTAACAACAGAAACTTTTAGAAATGAGTAGGGAATTATGAATTCAAAAAATGTTCCACATAGTAATGCTCAGAGGATGAAAATGTTTTTGATAATTGTCTAATTTAATAGCATGTGGAAAATTAAAACAAGCTTCCTTTTCAGAGAACAGTTTGGTGTTCAGAAATCTTCATTAATAATTTTAGCAAGTTAAAATAGGACAAGAATGCTGATACCAAAAAAGGTTTAAAAATATATACATGCAGGGCCCTCCCTAGTGGCACAGCACTAAGAAGCTAAAGCCACTTCCACATAAGTTCAAAGCCACTTCCACATGAGTTCGATCCCTGCCTGCCCCACCCACATGGTGAGGCAGACCTCTCCTGACCACCCACCGCTCCCCTCAGCAGTGTACTTTATCGATCTGTCTGTTCTGCTCCCCACTGTCTCTGGTGAATCCTCTCACCGCCTCTGCACCTCTGGCCTTTACCACAGTACTGTATGCATAAATAAATAAATAAATAAATCTTTAAAAATATATTTGTATATATATATATGTATATATATATACATACATACATACATTTTCTCATATATAATTTGTAGCTATGAAATTGCTTGTATTAAGTAGTTATTAAAATGTAGTTAGTTTTTTCCTTAAGCTCATCACTCATTTTTATTCTTAAATCTATTCTTAAAACTTAATCTTATTTCCTTTTTTTCTGGTATAAGATTCTAAAAATAAGAATATACTACTTGAAGTTTAAGGCAGGCTCAAACTCATTGGTTTATGAGCTTGACCCAAATAAAATGCCCTTTTTACTCTTTGTTAATAAGTTAAAATGGAAGTGCTGACTGCTAGAGTCCTATAAAATCTATGCAGTAACTACTTTTGGGAAAACAAATAGAGCTTCAATGTGTGTATTAGAGATAACCTTAGTTGTAATTTTGGATTGAAAACTTCAAAATAAAATTTTATAGCAGTCAGGGTTAGTATTGTCTGGTCTACTAAATCCTTATCTCAAAGCTGGAAGCTTTAGAAACAAAGGAAATATCATAGAATAGAAAATATTGGGGCTTTTGAATAATTAGGGGACTAAGAATTATGTAAAGGTCTTTGTGTCATTGAAGATCATGTGGATCCTATTTTAGGACTGTGAACTTCAGAAGATACTAAAGTCTGATTCCTTTCTCATTCTGGATTTAGTTGGTTCTTTATGAAGTTTAGGTATTTTGTCAGTCAGGATTAAAAGATTTTTCATTCTTTAGCATCCTTCGTTCTTTCACGCATAGCAGTGAATATGGCAGAAGAACATAATTAAGGTGTTGAAAGAAAATTCAGGTAATGGGAGTTTCAAGAGCAAAGATCAGCTGAAAAGACTTAGTTTTTACTTTATTACTTCTAAAACTTACATATAGATGTATTCTCCACTTTCCTCTCTCACAGAGCTCACTCAGACTCAGGCCTTTTCCTCTGTCTATATTCCTTCTTGGGTGCTCTCCTCCAGTTTCTGGTTTTCTGGTCTTTGCATGTTACAATTTGCTGAAGACTCCCAGATTTTCATTTCCAGCTCTGATCTTGCCTTTAATTCCAGAATTATGATTTAAGTCCTTGTGTTTGAAAATGAGCATAGACTCCATAGTCAGAAGCTGCATTCAGTCCCAATTCAAATCACTGACAACTTCTATGACCTTGATCCAAGTTACTGAACATCTGAGTAATGGGATTGGTCCGTCATAAGTCTTATTCTCAGACTGTCAATTCTGAATATGTAACGGACACCTTAGATTTAACAAAAACAAAACAAGTTTATTTTCTTTCTATTTGATTTTTTAAATTTCTGTTCTTCCTCTTTGTCATGTCAGTAAATGACATTAATGTCTGCCTACCCTCTGGGCCAAAAGTCTTCCCATATCCAATCCTAATTGTCTATCCTGTCTTCAAAATAATGTTTCAATTTTGTCTATGTCACTCTATCTTTATTGCCACTTCCACCCCCGTAAAAGTGTGATCATATTTCCATATGAATTACTGGAATATTTCAGCTGCTTTCTTGTTCCCTCTTCACAGTGCATATTTTAGAGAAGAGCCAGCATATTATTTCCACTGCGTTATAACCTCTGCTTTCTAAAAACCCTCTAGTAGCTACGTGGTTCTTTACCTTGATTTATAAGATCATGAATGATCAGATCACTTAGAACTTTTTTCCTGTTCCTGACTTCCATCTATACTGGCCTTCTTTTAGCTCTTTGAACATGATCATTTACTTCTAAAGGCTTTAATATTCTTTCTGTTCCAAGATGTTTACATGACTGTTTTGTGTATCATTTAGATGCTGCTTCAGCCATACTTACTTAGGAAGACTTCCTTGACTAATCAAAAGTAACCATTTCCACAGGTTACTTTTTACTGTGTCATTTTAAAAATATTCCTTGTTTTGTGTTTTTTTTCAACTAAATGTGTATCTCTATAAGGGAGTCAGGGTAATAGCCTAACCAACCACTTTATCTAAATAAACACTTTTAACAGTACCTGGTATATAAGAGATTTGGAAGACACAGCAGGAATTACTTGACAAATTTTCCAGAAATGGGACTTGAGCTCAATCACTGAATTGTTTTACTTTCCACCTCATATAGGTGTCTAATGCTGCAGGATGTACCCAGTATAGGAGTGGTTTGGTCCAGGGCACTGTGCTATAGTGGGAAGAACATGGAGGTGCTCTGTGAGCTTTGTCCTGGTAATGGACTGTGCCTACAGAACTTCTCCCTTTCCCAGAGCTAAGGAAGACACAGTTTCAAATATTATAGCAAAAAAAGGTGAAAGAGCGGTATCCAGAAACAAGGACCAAAAGTAAAGAAATTTTAAAAAATAATGTAAGATTTTTAAACTACTGTTCAACTAACTGAAGACAATTCTGTTTAATTTAAATATTTGAGAAGGATTGTTGGTAATAGATTTATTTTAGCAGGACTGGAAGCTAGGAGAACCAATTTTAGGTGTAAATTAGAGAATTTATTTTTCTACACATAAAATATTACAACAGGCTACAGAAAAAGGAGTATGTGTTTTAGGCTTTATGATATATTTTTACATCAGTAAGAGATGGTAGTGAAGCAGTGACTGTATATGCCCCAGCTTGTGTATTCGATAAAAATATGTTATCACTGCCTCTAAGAAATGTGTTTTTTTGTTGTTGTTTTTCTATTTGTTTATTTGCAGCATGATTTCTGATGAGTATTTTGTATGGTTTTAAAATCAGAAAGTATATAAAGTATATAAAATTTCTTTCTCATTCTTGTCCCTTAATTTCTTAATTCTCATGTACCCTGTTCTTACATTCTTACTATCCTTTCAAAGAATTTTTATGCTTTTATATGGGGACATATACATGTGCATGTATAAACCATCTGCATTGAGTATGGTGCTTGGCATATTACAAGTACCCTGAAGTCTTTGTTAGATGAAAGTCTTTCAGAGTCTGAAAGTTCTAATTCATATTTTGTTCTGGGAAGAAATTAACAATAAATAATGTTTTACTCCCCCCCCCCCCCCAGCTCCCTGTGCTGTCAGGAATCTGCAGGACTTGGCTCGTATTTACATTCGACGCACACTTAGAAATTTCATAAATGATGAGATGCAGGCCAAAGGGATTCCACAAAGGGCTGCACCCAAAAGGAAACGGAAGAGAGTTAAACAGAGAATTAATACTTATGTATTTGTGGGTAATCAGCTTATTCCTCAGCCTCTAGACAGTGAAGAAGATGAAAAGATGGAAGAAGATAACAAAGAAGAAGAGGAGAAAGATCATAGTGAAGCCATGAAGCCAGAGGAGCCACCTCAGAATTTACTGAGAGAAAAAATCATGAAGCTGCCCCTACCTGAATCTTTAAAAGCTTACTTGACATATTTTAGAGAAAAGTAACTTAGATCAAGAAGAAAGAATGCCTACTGATAATTCCTGTAGTCTTGAAAATGTAGCATTTGTTAGGAGTTAAAAGCGAGAATTCTTTCATCAGAGCAAATTATAGTGGGAAAACTTATAACTTATTTCTGTCTTAGTAATAAAAATGATGTATTCAGTGATTGAAAAGAATCCCTTTTATAAAATCTATTTTTCTTTAAATCTTGGAAACATTGCTGTTTTAACTCAGAGTGACTTCAGGAGTGGAATGCAACCATAGTCAAGACTTTGTGTACTGTAAATCTTTTTCTGATTCATTACAGATTTGTAGTAGTGAGGGTTAGGTTTAATTTTATATAGGGTTAAAAAATTGTTAAGCTTATATAATCTGATTCGACTTGCAGTTTGCATTTCCTCTATGAAAACTTTCTTATCTAATAAGGATATCAAATGCTTTGTAGACCCACTTACTTTACATTTGTCGCAATCACTATTGCTGAGTTGCTATAGATGTATTCCGGGCAATATGAGTGCAATAACAATACAGATATTGAATAATTTAGCTTTAAAAAAAAAAACAAGTTTTATGGACTTCAACAGCACTGCTACTATTGCTTTTGAATCTATTGCCAAAAAACCTGGGGACAATATCTGCTTCTCTCATAGAGATTTTAAGAGCACATCAAGTGACTATTAAAAGTAAAAAAGTACACACTTAATACAGCCCTTAATTTGTATGAATCCTTTACATTTTCAGTATTTAAAAATATTGAGGTTATCATACTCTGGAATTTTAGAAGATAGATTTAGATTTGTTTTTTCTATAGTCCATTGTAATAAAGTATTAGGTTAAAAAAAATCCATTCTATGTGACTGTTGATAGCAAAGACAGTGAATGAAATAAGCATGCTTGATGGCCACTTTGTTGGTGGCTGCATTTAGCAGGGTCATTAGAGATTTGCTCAGCAGGTGCACTTTAAATGGAACTTTTAGTTCATCTGAATATTTATCTTTGACAAGATAGGACTGAACTAGCTGACATTTGCTCTGAAATTCATCTTTGTAGAATAAGAAATACCCACAGAATCGTACGTAGCTGCCTTTTGCTTTGAAAATCTTGTTCAGAATCATAGTATGAACATTGGGACCTCTGTGTGCTCATTTAACTTCTCATGCTATTTTTGTTTATTTAGGTAAAATTATAATGATTTAATTTTTGTATATTATCACTCACTTTATCCACCATTTTGAATGTTAGTTGTGGATTTATCAGTGAGGAAGTAGGTAGGTAAATACCATTATTAGTTTGCTGCTTTTCTTTCTCCTAGAACCTGAAAAGTCATTCCTTGTTAATTATACAATGTAACATATTACTTAGTGTTACATGCATTATATATTTTTAAAAGGAAAAGTTTGAGAGTATCACTTATTACCACCAGCATCACTCTTGCAGTAGTTGATCAAATATGCTTAAGGAAATCCAGTCAATGTATAGTGAAAGGATTGTTAATCACTCTGCTAAAATTCAATTACCACTAATACATAGATGGTTTTGAAAGTCTCTGCTCTCATATTTATACATGTCTAAAAACAAAATTTTGAAATATTCTAAATATGTCTCATCCCAAGTAAATGAGGATATTTTAGTAATGTGAAAGAAAATTTCATAGGAGGGATTTGTTTTAAGTTATTGACTGGGGCTAGGGGTTGGTGGTTGAGGATATTTGTACACTTCTTACATGGTTATTTAGCTGTTATTGATAAGAAATACCCTGTTACATTTCTGTCAAGGAAAAAAAATTATATTCATACAGTTGTGACCTATTAGAGATGTTTATTTTATTTTGAATTAAATGTTAAAGTTTAATCTTGAGTTCTGGGCGCCCATATATTTTTATCTAAGAAACATTGGGAGAGTTCTCATCTCATCCTCCCCCTCCCCCAGCATACACCCCTTGTTGTTGCAGCTGGTGTTCAGCTATGTAAATGTCTCCATAAATAATTTTGCTATTTACAAGAGAGTTTTGTTAAGGATATATTTGAAGATTGATTTTTTTCATACCATCTCTTCATTCTGTTGACTTCAGCAAAATGTACAATAGATTTCATGATCATTGCATATTTTTTGTTATTGAAATATATCTTTGTTTTTAAATGCATTCATTTTACAGTTGTGACTTTATTATTGACTTTGAATAAAGAAGCAGAAATAAAAAAATGAAAATTCAAATGAAAGCCCTTCTTTTTGTTGTTAATATGTTAGAATGATTAAGAAATTTGGGGTTTGTGTTTATAGTCTAATGAGTTCATGTTTGTGTGTGAATAATTACAATGTATAGATGAAGTAGCAAATAAAGATGAAATAAAATTAAGTGAAAATAATGAGGTAAAAGCCAGATAAAACAATATAGTCATTCAGCTAGTTGGAGACAACTTGAAATAGCATATCACATTTGATGAACCCAAGAAATGGTCAATACCAAAAATACCATAATACCGAAAATAGTTCACACTGCCTATTCAGTATAATAGGATCTAGTACTAAAGGAAAATTAAAATAGCATACATGAACATTAAAACATAAGGTTAGATCTTGATTTCTAACAGGAGGAAGTGAAGTTAAGTTATTGAAAGGCTTTGAAAATTATTTTAAATAAACAGTTGCATATAATTATGCATCGTTCTCCAGTGGCCTGGCTTATTTTTCTTTTCAAATAATTTTCACTACACCTGGGGATGTATGCAGAGCTTATGAGGTATGTTTGCCTTTTTTGTATACCTTACTTCCTTTTGACTTGTTGAAAAGTGTAGACTAAAAAAATGGATAAATATTCAATAGATGTGAAATATTTATAAGGTATAATCAGTGTACAATTAATAATAATTACAAGTACATCTAAGTACATGTATGTACCTACTACTAGGTAAGTTTCACCATCAGCATTACTAAGACCTGTAGGGTTTTATGTCTTTGTTTTTTGTTACCCCTCTTGAGGGGTAGCCCTGTGTTTACCAAGCCCTTGCTTTTTACCGTAGTTTTATCACATAGGCTTATATCTCTAACCACTATTAACTGGTTTCACCTTTCTGAGGTTGATTTATACATGGTTAAATTACACTCACAAATTGAATTATCCTGTTGATGCCTATTTGTTGCTTTCTAAAATAGTTGAATTAACATTCTTATATGGAAAGTGTTATATGGAAAGACTTTCTTCAGAGTGTACATGTTAGAGAATAGGTCTTATACTACATTTATATTCACTTTTGCTAGATGATGCAAATTTCTTTAACAAAATAGCGTAACAATGTATGCTCCTTCTAGCAATGTTTTAACTTAGTTATTCCATATCTTCACCTACATTTGAAAGTGATTTTTACATATTTGGTAGTGTGAAGTGATACATAGGGATTTAGTAAGGAGGTTTTGTATCTTTTTCAAGTATTTTTCACTTCATGTTTCTGTAAAGTTCCCACTCAAATCTTGTAATTAAAAAAATGAAGTAACTGGCGAGGCAGACTTCTCCTGACCCGCCCACTGCTCCCCTCAGCAATGTACTTCATCGATCTGCCTGTTCTGCTCCCTGCTCTGTCCCTGGTGAATTCTCTCACCCTCTGCATCTCTGGCCTGTACCCCAGTTCTGTACAAATAAATAAATCTTTAAAAAAATAAAATTGAAGTAACATTGGTATGTCACATTATTATTTAAGTTTGGATGTACAGTATTATAAATCAGCATCTGTGTGCATTACATTATAGTCACCACCAAAAGTGTAGTTTCCTTTTATATGACATTTAACCTCTTCCACCTGATTTGCTCACCCCGCCACCTACCTTTTTGGTAATCAATATTTTGCTCTTACAGTCTTTGTTCATTATTTTTCTTCGATATATCTGTAATACTTTCTAGACCCCACCATGTTGTTGGAGTGGCCAGTTTCATCCTTTTTAATAGCTGAATAGATTACCATTGTGTGAATATACCATCTTTAATATGTTGATGAGCGCTTAGGTTGTTTCTGATTATTGTGAATAGCACTGCGATGATATGGAATGTAGTTATTCTTTGAATTCTTATTTTCTTTTTCATATATGCTCAGAGGTAGAATAACTGCGTTTATGAGATTCCTATTTAGTTTTATGAGGAGTCGTACTGACTAGTATTTTTCCATAATGACTAGTTTACATTCTTACCATCAGTGTGCAAAGGAAAACTTAATCCACATTCTCTCCAACACTTAATTTTTGATGATAGCTATTTTTATAGGTTTGAGGTGTCAATCTTCATTTGTTTTTTATTTTTCGAATAAGATAACATGATTTCACATGCCAGTTGATTATTTGTGTGTTGTCTTTGAAGAAGTATTCAGGTCCTTTGCTTTTTTGTGTGTGTGTGTTCATATATTTGTTGTTGAGTTTTATAGTTCTTTATAACTTCAGATACTAACCCCGTGTTGCATGTATTTTCTCCCATTCAATAGGATGACTTTTCATTTTTATGATAGTTTCTTTTGCTATGCAGAGGCTTCTTGATGTGATGTAGATGTTTCCCTTATTTTTTTTAATGCTTTTGTTTCCCTTGCATTGGAGTTGAAATCTCAGATCAAGAAGGCTGGTATCAAGGAACAGATGGTCCATATCTTACATTGAAACCTAATCAATTTTGAATTAATATTTTGTATGGTGTTAGTGTATTTGCTAATACTTTGTTGAGGATTTTATCAGAGACATGGGTCTGCAGTTTGGTAGTTTGTGTGTGTGTATGTGAGAGAGAGAGATGCAATTTTCTGGTTATGGAATCATAATTTTGACTTCATAAAATATTTTGGAAGGTTGCCCTCTTCAAAGGAAAGGGTGATATTAGAATTCACTAGTGAAGTGATTTGGTTAAGGCTGTTTTTGGCAAAGCTTTTGGTTATTACTGTGAATAGTTTTGTTCAAGTTTTCTATTTCTTCCTGATTCAGTCTTGGAATGGTATGTTTGTAAGTACGTATCCATTTCTCTTAGATTATTCAATTCGTTTCCATAATATTTTCATGTGTTCCTTTTTGTCTCTGTAGTTTCTATTGTAACTCGGTTTATTTTATTTGAATTTTCACTTTTTGACTGGCAAAAGTTTTGACCGTCATCTCTCTCTTCTAAGAACCAATTCTCACTTTCATTGATCTTATTCATTGCTCTTTTTTAATTTATATCTGCTGTGTGTTGTTATTTCCTTCCATCTGCCAACTTCTGGCTTTGTTTTTCCTTCTTGTTTTTTTTCTTTCTCTAGTACCTTTCGGTATAAGGTTAGATTATTTTTTTTTTTCTGTCATGAGGTAGCTCTGTATTGTTTTCTTGTATAAACTTCTTAGCAACAGTTTTGCTACATCCCACAAGTTCTGGTAACTTGACTTTTTTTTCATTTTTTGTCATATATATCTATGTATTACATATTTTACAAACATTTAAATACATGCACTTGTGTGTATACACCCTTTGATTTCCATGTTTGCTCAATAGGTTTTCATTAGTGGTTTAAAGTCCACATATTTTTGGGTTCTGGTTTCAATACCATTTTTCTGAAAAGATGCTTGGTGTGCTTTCAGTCTTCATAAATTCATTGAAGCTTGTTTTGTGTCCCAACATATGGTCTGTCCTTGACATTATTTCCTTGTACTTGAGAAAAAGTGTATTGTTTGGAGGGTCAAATACTTTGTAACTATTAAGTTCATTAAATCTAATTTGTCAGAGTCATTTTTACCTGTTGATAGTCTAGGTGATCTACTCATTGATACAGGTCTTTTAAAATTTGTTATTGCTTTGCTATCACTGACTCCCTTTAAGTCTGCTAATGTTTGCCTTATGTATGTGGATACTTCTTTGTTGGTTGCATATAAAATGTTTTGGCGTGCTTAAAAAGAATATTGTGCGGTTCAGTTGTACCCTATAAACACCATTTGAAATGTGTTTTGATTGTATTGTTCTAATATAGTCTGGTTTAAAGCTTTATGTATATACTTAACACACATTTTTGGCAAACTATGTTGATGGAACGTCAGATCCTTATAGTTCATTCCACTTGTGCTTTGTATAGTTTGATATGAAGGTAATGTGTGAATTTTTTTTTTTAAAGATTTATTTGTGCATACAGAATTGGGGTACAGGCCAGAAGCTCAGGGGCGGCGAGTGGCTTCACCAGAGACAGAGTGGGGAGCAGAACAGGCAGATCGACGAAGCACACTGCTGAGGGGAGCAGCAGGCGTGTCAGGAGAGGTCTGCTGAGCCATGTGGTCACCTCCGGGGCAGGCGGGAATCGAACTCATGCTGAAGTGGCTTTAGCTTCTTAGTGCTGTGCTTTAACTGCTGCGCCACCAGGGAGGGCCGTGAATGTTTATTTTTTAAAGACTGTATGTCTAGTAATTTTAACATATAGGAATTCTCTGTTTATTGCTTGCAAGTCAAATCTAAAAGTAATTTTGTTTCGTTTGGTAGTTAACCTATAGAATTTTTTTTTTTTATATTTCTATTTTAAGCCTCTTCTGTATGCTTATGTTTTGGGTGTGTTTTTTGTTAGCAATATGTAACTGTACTTAAAAATTTGTTTTCTGCAATGTTTGAGTTTTACTTGAAGCATTCAGTTAATTTATGTGAATTTAAAATATTACTACAGAATGATATTTTGTTATGTATTTTACAAAAGTGATTTTCCACTTTTTTTAAGATTTTTTTTCCTCTTAATGATTATTCTTGACATTTTAAATACTTAGCTAATATGAAAGGTAGTTACTCCCCTATCCCCTAAAATGCACGTTAGGGCACTTTACCTATAAAGCCATCACTTACACATTATATGCTAGTGTTTCATTTTTTATTTCTTATTTGGAAGTACACGATAACTTTATCTAATAAATGCATGATTAGTTTTACTCCACATTTAGACTTATCTTTCTCATTATTCCTTCTTTTATATAATCCCAATTTCTGTTGCTTAAAGTACATTCTTTTGAATATATTTAAGTAAAGGATAGTAGGTGAGTGACTTAGATTTTCCTTTGTGGAAGGAGGAACATGTCTTTGAAAAATTAATGTCTATTTTTAAAACGATGGAGGTTTTTTGTTTTTGTTTTTTTCCTTTTAACCTCTTGGTTTTCACTGAAGCTACTGAGAAGGTAACTAATAAGTCATTCCTCTTGAAGTTTTTCT